GTATCACTATTCGTGGCAACCACAATATTACTTCACTGAATGCGGGTATGGCTCCTCTCATAATTTGTTTCCATAAATATACGACCCGGTCATCCATTCATGGAAATGAAACACCGCCCGGATACCAATTCAACTCAGAAATAAGTTTCAGATCATTTCTTCTAAACTAGCGATTAGACTGATTAAACCTTTTTTTTTTTTTTTTTTTTTTTTTTTTTTGGGGGGGGGGGGGGATGAATACAATCAATAAGACATACCCTTCAGCGATATCAGGACTCTAAACTTCTAGGTAAACACAAACAGAGGACTCTTTCACCCTTACAACTCCCCTTAATTAAACTTGCACAGATGCTGCTTCATACCATGACACACGAGGCAGTTGCCTGTGATACAGATACATTCTTGTTACTCAATTAATCCAGTGCGTTTTCATTCAGCAGGAATTGCAGCAGTTAGGTGACTTGAATGGCGACGTGCGCGGCAAGATCATGATCAATGCGTCGCCATGCTTCAGAGGATGCAAGAGACAGCGAAGACGAACGACTAGTTGGTAAGAAGAATACCGGTGGACACAGCGAATATGAGAGTGCATCGAATTTGCAGTAGCATCGCAAGTGCAATCTGGGGTAACCATGTCGAGACGGAGGGAGTGTTCAAACTCTGAGACAACACCTGCAGGCGATTATTGTTTAGCAAGCTCAGGACCTCCAGATGCCCAGACTAATACAGCGAGAAGTGTTGGCCGATGGACGAGTGCGGAATCCAGTGATCAGTCCAAAGGATAACGAACGCTTGAATCAGGAGGACCAAATTGAGAGATTTAACGACGACTAAAATGCAGTGGACCCAGAAACTAATCACTTGGGAACCTGCCGCTGATCTCCAGTTGTTGCATCTTCAGCAGATCATCGCAAAGCTGGAGTCGCGATTCGAGAAGCTCATTGACCGAAAACGCTTTATGGAACAGAATTTCCAGCGAACTGCCCGAACGCAGCAAGCGCATTAGAAGAAATGGCTGGCATATATTCGACAACAAACCGCGGAGAAGAAGGCATTAGAACGACAACTTCGTGAGCTCAAGCAATATGTCG